GAATGAATGAATGAATGAATGAATGAATGAATGAATGAATGAAAGCAAACATACCATTTACATTAGCACCACCAAAATGAAAGACTTAGGTATAAATCTAGCAAAATATGTACAAAATTCATGTAAGGAAAAACTACCAAATTCTGATGAAAGAAATCAAAGACAGCTAGCTGGTTAGCTCAGTTGGTTACAGCTTGGTTTGATAAGACCAAGAGCCAGGGTTCAATTCCTATACCAGCCAGTCACCAAAACAAATGAACAAACAAAAAAGAAATCAAAGAAGTAAATAAAGAGATAGTCCATGTACATGGATAGGAAGACTCAATATTGTCAAGTCATCATTTCTTCCCAATTTGATCTCCAGATTCAGCAAAATTCTAGTCAAAATTCCAGCAAGTTATTTAATCGATATTGACAAACTAACTCTAATTTTCATATAGGGAGGCAAAAGATCCAAAATAGCCAACACAGTATTGAAGGAAAAGAACAAAGTCAGAGATCTGACACTACCAGACTTTAGGACTTACTCTAAAGCTACAGTAATTAGGACAGTGTGGAACTGGGGAAAGAATAGACAAATAGATGAATGCACTGGAATAGAGAGCCCAGAAATAGCCCCACACAAATATAGCCAACTGATCTTTGACAAAGGAGCAAAGGCAATTCAATAAAGAAAGGACAGTCTTTTCAACAAATGGCACTGACATAACCAGACATTACATGCAAAAAAATTAATCTAGACACAGACCTTATAACACCTTACAAAAAAATTAATTCAAAATGGATTACAGATCTATATACAAAACGCAAAATTATAAAACTCCTAGATGATAACATATGAGAAAATCTAGGTGACTTTGGGTTTGCTGATGACTTTCTAGATGCAACATCAAAAGCACAATCCATGAAAGAAAAAGTTGGGCTTCATTAAAATTAAAATCATAAAATTAAAACATTAAAAACTTCTGCTCTGCCGAAATCACTATAAGAGAATGAAAAGACAAGCCACAGACTGGGAGAAAATATGTGCAAAAGTTCTATCTGATAAAGGACTGATATGATATCCAAACTACCAAAAAAACCACCCCAAACCAAAAAACCAAACACGTGAAACTCAACAATAAAAAAACAAGCCCAATTAAAAAATGGACAACAGATCTTAACAGACACCTCACCGTAGAAGACATACAGATGGCAAATAAGCATATGAAAAGAGGATCCACATCACATATCATTAGGGACTTGCAAATTAAAATGAGAAATCACTACACATCTATTAGAATGGTCAAAATCCAAAACGCCAAACTCTGGTGAGGATGCAAAGAAACAAGAACTTGCATTCACTGCTGGTAAGAATGGAAAATAGTAAAGCCACTTTGGAATACAGATTGGCAGTTTCTTACAAAACTAAACATACCCTTACTGTACAATGTAGCACTCTTACTCTTTGATATTTACTCAAAGGAGCTGAAAACTCACATCCACACAAAAACCTGCACACAAAGGTTTACAGAAGCTTTATTCATAACTGCCAAGACGTGGAAGCAACCAAGATGTCCTTCAGTGTGGTATACTCACACAGTGGAATGTTATTCAGCAACAAAAAGAAATGACTTTCAAGCCATGAAAAGACAAGACGAATTTTAAATGCATACTGCTAAATGAAAGAAGCCAATCTGAAAAGGCTGCACACTGTATGATTTCAACAATAAAAAAATCTGGAAAAGGCAAAACTATGGTGGTAGTAAAATGATCAGTGGTTACCAGGGGTTGAGGAGAAGGAATAAGCAAAATAGAGAGGATTTCTAGGGCAGGGAAACTATATTCTTTACAACACTATATTGGTGGATTCATCTCATTATACATTTGTCAAAACCCATAGAACACAACACAAAGAGTGAACCCTATTATAAACCACAGATTTTAATTAATAATAATATGCATCAACATTAGCTGATGGATTGTAACAAATGTAGCACACTAATGCTAGACGTTAATAGTAGGGGAAAACTGGGGAGGAATGGGATATGGGAATGCTCTGTACTTTCCACTCAATTTTTCTGAAGTCTATTAATTTATTTTATTTGCTTATGTTTTTATTTATGGTGGCTGGCCATTATGGGAATCCAAACCCTTCACCTTGGTGTTATAATACTGTGTTTTAACCGAAGTCTATTAAATTAATTTAAAAAAAAAAAAAAAAAAAAACTGTTCCTTATTGGTTGCTGCCAGTGTAAGTTCATCTGATTTAATAAATCAAGCAGACTACGTTACTCTTCCAAACATCCAAAAACACTGCTCTTACCTTTCTTGCTTGCAGACCCTCTTTTCCAATGGCCTATGCTACCTTCCTATACTATTAAAAATCAGTAGTACAACCATCATAGTAAAGACTAAATCCAGCAAATGGAAGCTAAATTTTGGAGATTTTGATGAGGAGCGAGATATTTGTGTCTCCCCACAGAGTGCCTACGAGTTACAAGGGGATAAAATCCAGTCGTCATAAAGTGGAAAAACTGAACAACACCTTGACTGGGTGATCAAAAATTAATTTCACCAGTTAGCAGCAGATGGATATTATGCCCCTCACTGTGATACCCCGAGAAGGACGCAACAATAATCACGTATTATTCTTGCAAAGACTGTTATAACCTGCATCTAATTAGGAGGAAACATCAGATAAACACAATAGAAGAACATTCAATTAAAAAAAAAAAAGAGTGGGACATACTTTTTAAAAACATAAATGTCATAACAGACAAAAAAGACTATGAAGTGTTTCGAATTAAAGGAGGCTAAAGAAACATGGCAATGCAATGCCCAACTCTAAGCAGGATTCTGTACTGAATAAGGGGAAATGCTATAAAGGACAACACTGCTTCAATTGATAAAACTGGATAATGGATGTTTGATTAAATAGGTTTGATCTTTCATTCTACAAGTGAGAAATTAGATGACAAGGTAAGAATATAACAGGAGTTCTGGGTTATCTGATCCTAGGAATAACCAATTTTCAAGCTTCCTCTTTACAAAGTGTCCACCAAATAGGTATTTTCCCCTCCTCGAGTGTATACAGTATGTTTTAGGTTTTATTCCAACAGATACTAAACATAATTGCAGAAAAAGGAAAAACAGAAACAAATTAACACCTCCCTGACCTGTAAGTTTCCTGTCACATACAACTTCCAAAACATTGTTCTATTTCCTCCTAAATTCAAACAAAATCAAATAATTCAAACTGTAATAAGTATCTTTCAAAAACCTCAGGTATTCACTGTCAATAAGCAGCATTACAGGAAAGTACAGATAGAATCTTTTCCTCTGAAAAGTGTATCTTTAACATTTATTCTATACATAAGAACCTACAACTTCCAAGTTCATCTAGCATACTCTCATCCTCAAAGAGTAACTATAAACATAATTAATTAAAATTTTCTGATACAAAATCTTATGATATACTTACAGTTTCACAAGTAAGACATCTGGTTTCATTAGTTAATGTTCCCTGAAAAATCTCATGGACCCACGTTGGGTCTGGTGTGCTGTTGTTATTTTCACTGTCAATATTACCATTAGGTAAGCGACCATTTTGTTTTTCCTGCTTTCTCTCTTCTTGTAAAATATCAGCAATTGTATTTAGTAGGTAATTTAAGAATTCATGGGCATCTTGTTGCATGTAGTTGTCAAAAAGCTCTAAAAATAAAAATATGATATTAGAGAATTATTTCAGAATAGCTTTATAAAACAAACACTATAAAAAAGATCTAGTATTTTATCAGAACTAAAAGTTGAAATGTTTAGTACTGTTGGTAATGTACAAGAAATAAATAACTCACATGTAAAAATTATGACTGAATTTGGGGAAAATAAAGTTAGGATGAATGAAAATCTCTTTTAAAAAAAAGCAAACAAAAAAAAAAACCAGGCTGGCTGGTTAGCTCAGTTGGTTAGAGCATGATGCTGATAACACAAAGGTCCAGGGTTCAATCCCTGTGCCAGCCAGCCGCCAGAAATAAGTAACTAAATAACTAACTAAATAAATAACAATGCTAATTGATCCATGAGAAAAGAGAAAAATTTACCCATTTACATAACAGGTACTTGAAGATAAGAAGCAACTGCTTTTTATTAGCTCATCTAATCTATTATTCACAAATATTACAACCTGGCAAGGTTTAAAGCAGAAGCTGGACAACCACTTGCTGACGTCAAGCCAACTGCTTAAGAACTACAAAGTTCATTAAAAATAAATTACTGTGCCATACATCTGAGAGATTCTGATCTGGCAGGTGAGGGGTGAGGGCCTGGAACCTGGGGCTTTTCAAGACCCCTCCAAGGGATTCTGACATGCAGTCAAGTTCTGATGTGGTTATCAGGAATTATCTATTTAATTCAGATAATCTCTAAAATCCCTTCCAAATGTGAAATTTTTATAACTCAATAAGATGTTCCCTGTAGTTATTATACAAATGAGTAAATATAATGGAAATACTGGAGGTGCTAACATCAAGTGCTTTACCCAGTGCCTTGGCATTACAGAACCCTACGATAGAATGATAGGGACTTTAGAGGCAGTATCTCTCACAACTGTGGGTTACTGCCATTACCCTTATTTTAAAATGAGGAAATGGAACCAGAGGGTAAAGTCACACTACCAGGAAATAGCAGAGCCACACTGCAAACCAGGCAGTCTGACTCCACCATGCTACGTACAAAGTAACGCCCAGTATGAGCCTCCTAACAAGAACACATACGAATTATTCAAGAAAATGCACTGATAAAAGTTACCTGTTTAGGAAATTTATTTTTAGATCTTCAATGAACATTTAATAAATTCCAGAAAAATTCCAGTTTACATTTAAAAAATGAATGCAAACAAATTTAGAAGAAAATTTAGGGACAGCCTTTCTAAGACAAAAGGAATTAATATTACATTTCAGAAGAGCTACAGATATGACTGCATAAAATTAAGTTCTATGAATTAGAAACCATTTAAAAAGTTTAAAAAAACAACAACAGTGAAAATTATTAACATTTTCATCATATAAAGATCTCATACAAAAAGAAAACCAAAGTGGGCAAAGAACTTGAAATAAACAATTTGTAGGAAAAAAAAATTCAAAAGGCTAAGAAACATGAGAAAATGTTCATCCCTATGGTAATAAAAAAAAGGTCTTTATTATCCCATCTATGAAATGGGATACCATGTTCCTCTGCAAAGTTACTATAAACATAAAATGAGAAAAGTGAACAGATTTATTGGGGAGGTATATTCAAAATAAAGAATGACTTTAATCTTTGTGTCAAAAAGACCTTTAAAAAGTATCAATTTAAGGTGGAGGTGCTCCTAAAACTGTTTGGATTGGTATTATGGTTCTACCTCTAATGAGGCAATTTACTTAACCTCCCTGTGCCATAATTCCTCATCTGAAAAGCAGGGTTTACAAAGAACCTACTTCACAAGGTTTTTATGAAGATTAAAAGTGCTCAGAACACAACACTGTAAATGCTCAAAGATCCTGAACACTTGCTATTATTATTATCATTGCTGTTACTAAACAAAATACAAAACCCACAAAGGAAAAGATTAACTACATAAAAATTTAAAACTTCTGTATGGCAAAGACAACATAAATGAAGACAAATGACAAACTAGGAGGACATATTTCCATATTAACATCCAGAGTATATAAAGGCTTAATATCCAGAATATTCGAAAAATCCCTTTACAATACAAGAAAAGGAAAACCAACCAGAAAACTGGCAGAGGAAAATAACAGGCAATTCAGAGGAGAAATACAAATTCTCAAATGTTACATGACAAGTGATTGGGAAATAAAATTAAAACAATGACAAAACGTCATTTTTGCCCATCACAATGGCAAAATAAAAAATGACTTAAGTGTCTAGTGCTGGCTTGAGTGTGGAGAAATGGGCATTCTCAACTGGCATGGCATGTTTTAAAGGGCTATCTTGGTAATGCCTTTAAAAGAATGCAATCTGGTTCTTCTAGATATCAATGCCAAGTACATACCTGTGCATATAGTAAAACAAGTGTGGATACGGATGTTCATTTATGTAACAGCAAAAGTCTGAAAATGTCCTAAATGTTTATCAGCAGGAGAACGGTTTATTTAAATTATGGTATAATTTTGTTATACCACTGGGCAACAGTTTAAAAGAAGTAATTCCATATGAACTAATATGGTAAAATTTCCAAGATATTAAATGAAACAAGGATGCTGAACCTGTGTAGTGCAAGCCCCCCCTCACCCAATCCACTAACAGTCTCCTTTCCTTCATTTTCACACTACAAATATAAGTTTGATTCACTGACTCTGAATCTTCCCATATAAGAATTTTTACTGACATTTGCATTATACTGTAAAATTCACATTAAATCTTTCATGTTTATTATTTGTTTTCACATATCCAAATCCACTCCACAAATTTGGTTCTCAAATCAAATACAATAATATCAAGAATGCAACTGGAGTCACACTTCATTTCTCTGCTGTAAGTTTAGCCTGAGGGATTCTATTAGCCTCTATCAAACTCCCTATGTTATGTTTAAGAACAATGAAAGCCATGAGTTCTAACAGTTACTGCATTTAGCCTAATCTAACACCCAATTGATCTTTCACTTGCTGTATTGCGTGCCCACTGGATTTTGCCCATGAGGGTTAGTACTGCCAAAGCACTGTAACACCATTCTCCACTCTCTGCTCACACAGCAGAAGACACCGCAGCTACTCTCAACACTGTGAGACAGCCTGCAACTCTGCAAACCCTCTCAGCAGTCCACTCCACCTGTCCAAGGCCAGGCCAAGTCATGCTTAGAACCCTCAGATGGCTCCACCATTGCAAAGGTCTAGACCAAAGCTGAGATAACCGAAGCCAATTATCTTTAAACTTGCCTCTCAATGCAGTAATCTTCCAGCCCCGAAAATCACTCCTCAACCCAATTTCTATGCTCTGCTACTCTCATTTACTTATTGTATGTGCCTTATTTCCTTCCTCATCCTTGGAATTTTCTTCATTCCCAACCCCTGCTGCTGCTCCTTCTACAAAACACATTCTGTTCTAAACAAACTCCCCATCTCTTCAACCTTTGGCATTTTCTAGTTCCCTGCTGCCACTTATAAACCATTACCTTCACTTGCATATAAAAACTCACCCTCAATCAAAAAAGTGCATAAGATCTAACCATACTACGACCCTTGACACTCCTCTGAGGCCATCTGACAACCTCCCCCTCACCCTGGTGGCATCACTCACGGTTTTTCTCTCCATGCCGACTCCTGCTCTAACTCTGACACTTAGTGTCCAGGAAGCTTCCCTTTTTTTTTTTTTTTATTGAAACATAATTGATTGTATATATCCGTGGAGTGCAAGACTGAACATCGATACCTATGCAAGCGGCTTCCTTAAGTGCACCTGAACTCTGTAGCAATCAAGGGCCTCATCTTTTACTCACTCACCCACCCCCAGGTCACAAATCTAGAACCACCCACATCAAGGAGGTCTACTGAGATAAGAACTAATTATGCTACAGTTGGTTAGGGGGCTCAAGAAAAGTGGAAATAAATTAGGATTTAAAAAGAAGGATGGAGGAGGACTAGCAGAAAGGTTCTATAAGCACTGAGGGCCTAGTTAAGGTTGGAGATGACTCATTCACTACACTGGGTAAGCTACATGCTGGCTCAATGCCACAATCTAAAATAGTCTAATTTTTCCCCATTAAAAATTTTACTTTAGCATGTATGCATGCATATAATTATTTCAAAATAATTACCTTTTTTGTAAAGCAAAAATATGCAAAAGTTTTCGTTTTTTAAAAATTTACATCTTTTTTTGAATGTTCTTTTTAACATAGAAGAGTGACTTCATTCAGAGATACCTCAACTGACTTGAATGCCCTGAAAATGAGATGCAAGGTAAACCAGAAAATATTCTTTAAACTTTTGTTGAAATATTTCTAAAATAATTTACAGTCCATTTTCTATAACTATAGTATACTGAACATGCCAGAATCTTGCAGTGTCATAAAGCAGCCACTATAGTTTTAAAAATATCAACCAGGATCACATAAATGTCAAAACAATGTCAATGGGATGACCTCGGAAATGGTCTTTAAAACCCTGTGAAATATATTACATTTGATTTTTTAAACTCTGGTTCTTGTATGGTTTGCTTTCTTTTCTGCTAAGTAACATAATGGGAAAGGTGGACTTCAAACTTGCTTCGGTAAATTAAACAAGTTCATTCATTCATTCACTCATTCAACAAATATTTAGTAAGCACCTACTATGTGCCAGGAACTGGATTATGTGCTGGGAATACAATGGTGAGCAAAAACAAATGGGTTCCCTCCATCACGGAACTGACAGTCTAATGGGAGAGACAGACAATTTCATTATTAAATAAATGTATGATTGTTAACTTTATAGTCCTGACACAGCTGCAACATTAATGCAAAAAAATAAAAACAAAATCACTGCTTAAAAACAGGTTATGTCTTCTTCATAATCAGAAATACATATAGCTTTCATTACACAAAATACTTTTTACACTTGGGAAAAATTAATTGAAATGAACATGAGAAATTATTCAAATCTATTTAATAGGTGTTATTTGTGAACAAATAATGTTTCCTCACTCAAAGAAGATCACTCTTAAATAAGCACATACATGTGTTTTTGTATCTCTCCCCAGCACCTGAAACACTGTTGTGCGTGCAGGTTCCTTGAGCACAAGGACCTTTTCTATCTCTTTTACTGCCATATCTCCACTGCCTACAGCAGTATCTGTCACACATTAGATGTACTTAACATTTTTTGAATGAATGAATGAATGAATGAATGAATGAATGAATGAATGAACGGACAACAGGGGTTGAAACAGCTAAGATGATATAAAAAAGAGTACATTTGGCCCAAAACAACAATTTGAGCTATGTAATATTGCTAAGATCCAGTCAGAGCGCATTACTACCGATGTCCATTGACGTGGCCCTCAAGCCCATCTTAAATGATCCTGAATTGTCCAGTTGAGAGTTAACTCTAGCTAACACAATTAGATCACTAACCTGTGTTCATTTCTTCCAAAATAATAATAGGGTGCCTACAGGAAGTAATTTTAAACCGATAACTTCATTTCTTACCTAGAGTACTACCAATAGCCCCCCTGCTGGTCTCCCTATCTCTACGCTTATGCTGTCCAGGTGCACCCATTGCACCCCCACCCCACCAGCAGCCAGAGGGATCTTCTCCTAACGCGAACCGGAACATATCATCCACCTGTTCAAAACCCTTCAATGGCTTCCCATGGCTTTCAAAATAAAACCTAAGCTGCAGGCCTCTGCCTCTCTCTCTAACTTTATCTTCACCTCATTCCATTCTCACCACACTAATTTTCTTGCCATCCTTCAAGCACTCAGGACAACTGTACTTTCTGTTCTTTCTACTTGTAACATTTCTGCCTCAGATCTTCAAATGGCTTCTCACTTCAAATCTCTGATCTAATGTCACCTTATCAGAGACCTTCCCCAGCCACCTATATCTAAACAAGCAACTCCCTCATTCTCTGTCCCCTTTCCCTGCTTTCTTTCTCTTTATAGCAGTGACACACATATTACATAATTGCTGACATCTGACTACGCCACTAAATCATTAGATCCCTAGAGGCTTATTTCTATGGTTGCAGTTCCTAGAAAGTGCCTGGCACACACTAGGAAATCAATATATAATTATTAACCAATTCAAACATTCATGCTATATGCAGGAGTACTGTGAAACAGTTCTGTTATGCTATGATTAGGTAACAGGATTAAAATTTTAATAACAAAAATTAATTAATGAGTAGGAATTAAAATTGAGTCTTTCCAAGGGATATCAAAAAGATCAGCAGTGTAAAGCAACAGTGGCTAAAACAATATGGAGCTGAAGGACACTGCTTTAGGAAGAACCATCCAACAGAACTAGTTAGGGGAAATACTGAAATGGGTAACATATTTTCCAGGCTTAAAACAAAAAAATCTAAGAAGGAAAAATATGCAATAGGTAAAGCATTAAATCCTATTTGATTTGTATGCTCTTCTCTACACAATTCTCAGTGAAAAATTAAAAAGCCAAAAATATATTTCAAAACATATTTACGAATGCCAGCAACATAATAATAAAAATGCCTTCCTATTAAATAAATAGTAAAAATACTTTCCTAGTAGATATTATTTCGAAGTTCAGAAAAATGAAAGAAAATGGGTTTGGAATAATTATTCATTCTAGAATCAGACTCATTCAAATAAGTATTTAAGAAGTTACTGTGTTAACAATTATTCTGCCTAAATACAAAAAAAATCAGAAAATATTGAATCATTAAAAAATTATTAAAAAATACTGTAAAAATATCCCTGCTTTGACAAGCAAACATGTAAAGCCGTACATATACAACCACAAAGAACTTAAACTCTGTTCAACATGAGTGTCAACCTAACTAACAAAATCATTGTGCACTTAAAGAGCACATGCAATAGGTTAAACAAGAAGGTGAAGAAAAATGTACCATTAAATGAAAAGGAGAATAACATGTACGCTGTGTGAGTTGCACACTGCTGATGTTGAATATTTCTAAGATACTAATGAAGTCACCAAGAAAGGATGGCATGTTCAATTAGCATGTACATGAACCTTCTACTAGGACAAAACCTTTAAAGTTTCATACCAGTACAGATAAAAAGACTAAGACTTAATCGCTCAATCCATATTCTAACAGATTGTGTTGGGCTTTCTTAAAAACAGAAGACAACATACAGATCTGTTATCTAAGAAAGTAAATAAACACTTAGCTTTCATTAGGGGAAACAAAAATTATGTATTTTTGTAAACAATTAATCAACTGTTCTATATTTGTATGTGAGGAAAATGAACAAATCTTTTAACATGTGTATCAGATTGGAGAATTACAGCTTATGGCCATGCCATGCTATTTCAGAGTCCTTTTATATTTCAGGGAACTCGATTTGATCCAGGCTTATCTCAACTCACATGATAATGAACAGTGTCAAATGACAAATTTAAGGGCAGGATCACACATTAATGTAGTTAATAACCAAACTTAAAAACTTCTCAAATCACATTTCTGTGGGCATCTTTCTATTGATAGGTAACAATTCAAACTACAAATACCATTCAGCTTTATTTCTACAATCATTGAAATGCCTGCATTGGGGCCGGCCCGGTGGCGCACTGCTACAGTGCGCCGCTTGGGAAGTGCGGCGGCGCTCCCGCAGAGGGTTCGGATCCCACATACAGACTGGCTGCTCACTGGCTGAGCGAGGTGTGGGAGCAACACCGAGGGTTGCGATCCCGTTGCCGGTCCCGGTCCGGTACAGGCGCGACACTGAGGGTTGCGATCCATTGCCGGTCACGAAAAAAGACAAAAAGGAAAAAAAAAAAAAAAAAAGAAATGCCTGCATCAAACAAAACCCAGAATTCTACATGCTATTTAAATTCCATTTGAATTTTTGAGGCAGCATACCATATTAAATAGAACACTGGGCTTAGCTATCAGGAAGAAGTAAGCTTGTATACCATCTCTGCCACTTGTTACTAACTCTCTGTGACACTGGACAAATTACGTAAACTTCTCTGAGCCTCAATTATCTCATGTAAACTGAGATAAGAATGTCTAACATACACTTGTTGTGAAAAGTAAATGAAAACTATTTCAAAAGAGAAAAGAGAAGTGAGGCTTACTCAGTAACTATTATGAAAAGGGGTGGCGGGTAGCAGGGATCAAAACCTATCTACCCCAAGGCAGAAGGTCTGAATTCTTACTCTGGCTCTTTTCTTCCCCTGAGGTGTGATTCCTGGCAAGTTTCTAGCTTCTACTTTATTCATAGCTAAAATGGGAGAAAAAACATGCTATCTCAGGTTATTGCAAGGATCAAATGAGTTAACATACATGAAACAACTAGGAAAATAATAAATGCACAGTCATGTGAAAAAAAACTTTATTCTGGATAGAAAAGCCAAGCAGGCAAAAAAGAGAAATTACAATTTCTCGTTTCCTGGCATATAGAATTTTATCTTTGTATAACACACTTCAAACATTAATCACACCTCATATTAATTACTATGAGAGCATATCCTCAACTGAACTAGTATCTCTTAAAGAAAAGAACATCATCTTTGTTTTTTCAATGGGTATCAGAAATAAAGATGAGGCTCAATAAATGCTTGAATGGCAGTACCCTATGTTTGATCTTACTATTATGTAAGCAATGCACTGGAAAGTAGAAGAATTACCATTTTCTTTTCGTAATCTCGTTATGAACTTCTTAGGAGGTATCACTCCAACCTTTTTCTTCTGGGTGGCTATGCTGTGGAAGAGATCTGCTAAGCATGTAAGAAGGTTCTCCTTCTTCCTAGGTTGACTCTTGTATGCTAGAACTTTTTCCCGAAACGGACGACAGAAATAAAGTGCTTGAAGAACTGAATTGCAGTAGCAGGTATTCCCAAACTAGAATAGAAAAAAATTTTTTTTTGTTAAATTTGGGCAATACATTTTCACAAGAAAGAATTTCTCTGTGTATAGTTGAGAGAACAGAAAGAGAAGATAGGGAATTTATAATCCACATAAATTAAAATGTATCTGAAAGTACAGAAGTAATTATTCTGCAAATTAGCCATTTTAACATTAAACGGATGCTTTAGGCATCAGTTTCAGGTTTAAACTGAGGAAAATATATCGTATAAATTTAAAGTCAACTAAAATGGTTATTTACAGGGGAAGAGGGAAAAGAGTGGAGAAAAGGATGAAAGTGAGACTCCTGTGAATGTACATTACTATATAAACAGTTTATTTTATACCCTAATTTTTAAAAAATTAAATCAAAAAATAAAGAGAAAAAATGTTAAAACTGAAAACAAATAGAAATAAATGAAATCTAAATGTGTATCAAGTTGGTGGTAGAACTACATAGAAAAAAGAATAACTTTAGGTGACTTTTAAAACACAGAATTTTTTACATGCCTAGTGAGAAATAGTCTAAAAATAAAAAGAACCACAAAGACACCTACTAATAGTGTTATTTTGAAACTATTATAGCTACATTATCGGATAAAGCAAGCAAGGAATTATGTTAATACTCTAGGAACCAAACTTTTTAATGTAAAGGATAAAAAGATACTGTAATAGAATTCAGAAAAGTGAAAATCCTGTAAACATAAATTGGAAATATCAGTATAAACCCATGCCTTTGTATAACTCTTAAAGTGTATGTAGGGGGTTGTGGGTGTGTGTGTGCATGTGCAGCATGTATGTTTGCATGTGCATGTGCGTGTTTTCAAATTTTGTCCACTGAAAAGGTATGGCAGCAATGAGTTTCCCCTGTACCCAGATTTTCCCACCAAAAGGAACTAGGATGCCTTGGAGATATGGCTGATACAAGGTCTGGGACAAGAAATGCACAACCTACGAGATTAGCCCCTGGACACCTTTTTGTGTAGATAGAAAAGTCAACTTTCGTTCATAAAAATTACTGCAATGGATTAAAACATATAAAAATCCATCAATTTAAAATGACAAAAAAAAAACAAAAACCCCTCATTTGTCACCATTAGAGGTTTAGAGGATGCAAACTAACATATAAAAAGAAAGCATCAAAGTTTTATCTTGCCCTTCTTATAAGACATATTTCAGGGGTACTGAATAGTTGATGAAGGAAGTTCTTGTTTATACAATAATTGCAGCAAATAAAATCAGAAGAGATGATTGTCAATAATGGATTAGGCAATAATTATCAATGGATGCCAAAAGCATTATGTTAAAGGATACTAGGGAACAAGACAGATCAGATCTAAATCCCCAGCACATTTCAGCATCACTGAAAGTGAAAGCCGAACACGTCATGTCTTGTGATGTACCTCACATTCTATGAAGCATCCTTGCCTTAAAAAAACAAAACAACCAATTCATAAGATATTCAGGCAATAGAGGAACAGGTTAAACAATATCACAAAGAAAGAATAGGCCAAGTTTGAAATGTGGGATAATTCCTAGGACAAATGACCTGATTTCTCCACAAATTAATGATATGAAAAAGAAAACAGGTTGGGAAGGACTTAAGACATAACACATTGCAAATGTAATGCGTGGAGTTTACTTGGATCCTGATCTGAAAAAACAAACTATAAAAAGTCATCTTTGAGATGAGAGAAAACATCTGAATATGGACTAGTACTAGATGATATTAAGAAGTTATTACTGGGGCCAGCCCCGTGGCTCACTAGGGAGAGCGCGGTGCTGGTAGCGCCAACGCCGCGGGTTCGGATCCTACATGGGGATGGCCGGTGTGCTCACTGGCTGAGTGTGGTGCGGACGACACCAAGCCAGGGGTTACGTTCCCCTTACCGGTCAAAAAAAAAAATTTATTACTAATTTTGTTAGGTGTGATAATGAGATGATCATGTTTTTAAAAATGTCCCTGTCAGTTTGAGATGCATAACTAAACAACTAAATATTTAGCCAAAACAACATGATGACAAGGACGTCCTTTTCCAAGGGGGCGGGGCGGGGGGGGGAAGCCAAGTGGATGAATAAATTGGCAAAATACTGGTGACTGTTAAGCTAGGTTGATGGGTTCGTGGGTTTCATTTTATTTATCTCACTATTCTAGTTTTTTTAAAGGAGGCAGATGTTTAATCTTTGAGGCAAGGTGTATCATCATGTGTCAAATTCGTAGTAAACATAGGATCTAATCAGTATAAATTCAGAAGGAAGACAGAGACTAGGCACAGCCAGTAATTCCAGGGAGAAAAATCTTAAAAGCCCTGCTACGTTCAATTTCCTGTCTGAATGTTTCTTTTTCTTTCAGAGAGATTAAAGAAATAAGACCTCTATGCCCCACTAAGATACACTGTACTATTAGAATCTCATGTGAAAACAGGAGTTATCAACTTTTTGAAGACACATTGGAGACTCAAGCCCTCTCCAGATAGGGATATCAGACCCAGTGAGGACGTATTACCTCTTACATTGACACTGTAGTCAGAGCCAAGGCACTGGTTTGAGAAAAAGAGATGCTTTAAAGGCTTCCTAGAGAAAGGCTAAAAGAAGTGTATGATAATGATATCAGTAATCATAAATATAACTATGGATATACTCTAATGAAACCTATCCAGGGGTTACGGACATCTGCATTAGAATCTACAATGTTACCAAGATTATTTTACCAACTATACAATATAAAATCATCTGAAGATACTAGTATTTGTGTTTTTTTGTGGTTTTTACAATTTTTTTGAATTGAAACATAATTGATTACACATATTTATGGGGTACAAGTTGACTATCAGTATTTGTGTACAGTATGTGAAGATCAAATTAATACTACTAACATGTTCATCATTACAAATCATAATTAATCTTTGTGTCCCTTACCCAATTACTCCCTAACACCCCGCCTTACCCCCCTCCCCCACCTCTAGCAACTAAAGGTCTCTTCTAGCCTTCTGAAAGTGCAAAGTTTTATTGTGGTCTTTCTTTCTCACAAGTGGGGGGAAAGGAAGGAATGAAGGACGGAAGAGAGGGAGGGATGGGGAGGGAAAACTTCTTTAAAAATGTAATGTATTATATACATTAAAAAATAAAAGAAATGTAAGATAAAGTGTACATTTTAAATTTTTCTTATTTATTACACAAACTTGTTATTTTTACTAAAAATTAATATTGAAGTAAGAGCAATGAGACTGAGTAATAAGCTTTTTTGTAAACCATGGGTTTTAGATTTTAAAACAGTGATTTGATAGTCTGGGTTTACTTCAAGTTATTTGGATATGTGGTTTTAATAGCTATCAAAACTGAAAAAGATATCTCCATAAAGGTATCTAAAGGTACAAGTGAAGAGTCTCGTTGACTGCCTTTGCTTTATAAATCATGATACTGAATTTTCATTCCTATCTACCAAATTTCTTTGAATAAATTCAGTGAATGTCTGCCTTGAGAGAGCATAGCATAGTAATTAAGTACACAGGATCAGAAACCAAACTGTCTAGGTTCAAGGCTGATTCTGCTGTATGACCCTGGGAAATTATAAACCACCTGTTGAACAGTTTCTTCATCTGCCAAATGAGGCTAATAACAGCCCCTACCTCTTGGAATTTTTTAAAGAATTAAACGAATTATCCACATAAAGCACTTACAAAAATTCCTGGCACTTCATCACCTCATAGTTACTTTTAAAACAACCTTAAGTTAACTGAAATTAGATCATATAAATGTTTAAGTCTGCTTTTAAATTCTAACAGATTTGCAACAGCAGAAATGAGTAAGGGAGGGTGACACTGTGAACCCTTTGGCATCATGGAACTTAAAGTGACATACAATCATACCATACGTGGACAGAGTAGGGGCCAGAACATCCATGCTAATAATTAGTAAAGTTTATTCTATCATTTTCAGATAAAAATAAACATTAGAAATCTTAATATTTTCTTCCCATACCCACACTTCATTTGGATGGAGACTACTAGTTTTAACCACCGTTATGTCAAAAGTATTACCTTTTTAAAATGTTGAAAAGGGACCACTTTTGAAGAGGCACAAGTTCTTCCACTGTCCCCTATGCCAGACTCAGGTGATGCTGTCTGTCCTGTAACTTTCCCCTCTAAGGAAATGTCCTCTTTCCACCAACCAGTTCCCGATTAGGTGGCCATGTTTTAGAATGCTGTATCTGCACATTCTCCTACCCACTACCCTCACCCCAGCTGAGTAGATCAGTGAGTACCTAACCCAGAATCAGTCTTTCCATACTCTAGGCCATGACATCCATTCCTCACCCCACGCCCTTATTTCCCTGTCCCATGCTTCCTTGTAGGAACTGATTTCTCTTTTCTATGCAAATTCTGTCAGGATGTCAATCACAAGCCCTTTCACAGACCCTGCAACAGGCTTGGACTTGATCCAATCTAGCCAGAGTATGTGGGCCAGAGCTCTAGCCAGGCTTGACATGAACATTCTCTGGGATCTCCAACAACATAAACCTCAAGTAAGCCATGGCCATCAGTGGAGAGAAACTGGATGAGAATGAAATCAGTGCAAAAGAGACAACTGTCTAATCAACTTCATAATCCACAAATAGAAAATTTCATTTTTATTTATCACTGTCCTCCATAATAGACCCTGCTCTAAATAATGACTACTAGCAATTCAAGTTAAATATTAGCCTTTGATAAGATGGGCTAGGAACGCAACTATAATTTCATAATCAAGATTCTGGGAAAAAAGCACATTCTATAGTAGCCTCACAAATGAATTCATTGAAAGCCCAATCTACTTGCGTGTTAGGGCCTACTTGTATTTAAAATTAATAAAGAACTATACAATAATACAATGAAAGAAGACTATTTAAAAAATAGTAGGAAAGAGATACCACTAGTTTAAATCACTCTCTATTTTCCACACTACTAAAATAAGTACTAACCAGCTACAAGATTAAAGGAAAAAGGTAATCTGATTTT